TCATTGAGGTGTATAAATACAAGAATGAATCACTCTACCGGCATTGCATAGGTTTGTTAGTTCAACTTCCACAATAAATTTACTTTTTCTAACTGCATGTAAAGCTACTGAGTGGCACCTCTAAAACTTAACATTTAACACATCCTTCCATGTTTGTCTTCTCTGTAAAAATCAGACATATGTTAAGCTAAGTGAAGCTCTGACTTTATCTTCATATTAACCTTACAAAGCTGAAAGTGGTATCAATATTTTAATCTTTCAGCCAAAATTAAAACAAAGAGTATATTTCCCCTTAATGTCAAATATCTCCCAGACTCTTTATCATCTCCTTCTGGAAAATATGATCAGTCACTGGAAAATATTCTGTGTGCATCCAAGCGAATAATATCATGTTCACGCTTTCATTCCTCCTCTCTTGTGGTGAAAGGTGATCTCATGAACTAACTCATGAAGCTGCATGTGGTACGCATTTATTCAACCTACCTTTTTTTTCTCGCCTCTATTAATGACTGATATTCTCTCTCTCAGTGAGTGGAAACTGAATATCAGCCACTTGATGTGACAGAGCCCTAAAGTGTGATTTATGTTTCAAAGGTCTAATTGGCAGCATTTCCTCTGTCTCTAGGCTGCACCAGTCACAGTTTAGACATCTCTGAAAACCTTGGGAGATATACACTTGGCCTTAAACGCTGCTGGCTGCTTCAGATCATTTATCTTAGTCTTGAGCTTCCACTGAATAAGGAGCAGGCCTGCTTCTGTGGCTAACTGTATTTCTCTTTGGAAATATCGATTTACACAGTTCAGCAGAACAATGTCTTGATGGAAAATGTTATGCATAGAAAAAGAAAATAATAAAAGGGTTATGGACGCAGGCGGTTTAGGACCAGCTCATATAAATTTACTCCAAACTATTTATTTTCCAGCCTTTTTATGATAAAATCCTAATATATTATGCTATAAAATGTTATGCAGTGTAATATGATACAGGCAGAAATCATTTCCTGAGGACATTTTAATCGTACTAGTAGACAATAACTGGACTTTTTGATCTGGGCTGTCGCTCTGTGGCTCTATGGGTTGGATTATTGTGGTTTTTAAATGTTTCAACAATTGTAATTTGCTACAGACGTTCTTCTTTTGTCTTCCTCAACTTGTCATGCATGACCATCAAATTCCAATTTTTCCAATACCGGGCTGGTGACCAAAAACTGCAGAAGCTTTTAACATTACCCAACATCTCTGTTGTACTTCATGCTGAGAGCTAATCAGCAAATGTTTGCATTCTCACATCCTACCACTTCTAAATGGAAAACATCAAACTTGTAATTGCAAGCATTTTAGCGAGTATAGCTTCACAGAACAGCTAGCATGAAGCTACAGCTAGCATGAAGATCACTTTTCTGTCCTTTACTGCCAATACGAATAAAGTTATTATAGTTATTAAGTTCTTATTAAATGTCCATCCCATCTTTTACGTGAACTGGTTAGTGCGTTTGTATTCTATTCATCAGAAGGTTTCTAATGGTATCAATGATGTTGAGTGAAAATGCTTTGCAGCTGTGATATTCTGTTGAGTCTATCATTATGTTTTCATGTATTTTATCTTGTAATCCTGGTGATTTTGTATTATGTCTGGTGTTACTTCCTGCTATTTCTTCATTTCCCACCTTTTTTTCTCAACGCACCTGTGTCTCATTTGTCTGACCTGTATATATAAACCTTTGTGTTGACCTTCCCTCTGCTCGATTTCCCCCCTTCAGCCAATCCTATGCTAAGTCAAGATTTTGTAATGGTTCCAAACATTATCTTAGATTTCCCTGTAATGTGAGGTGTGTCAAGGGTGATCTGATATGAAGGATGTGGGGGATGCCCTGAATTCATATTGTAGTTATTTTTTTAAGATTAATTATTTACGATCCGTTCTCCTGTTGTGTTTGATGAGAGATGAACACCAATCTTTATCAGTAGTGTAAAACTTCTAATAATAGCCCAGGCTTTTATTATCCTCAGTCTTTGATATGACCCTGCCTTTATTTGGTATAGGTGAAAATGCATTTCAAACAAAAGTGGTGCACAGCAAAGACAGGACAAACTATCAAATATTTAAATAAGGATGGAATTTGACCGTAGTTGAACTTTTTTTCCTCATGAATTTTGATTAAAAAGTAGTACAGAAATAAGCAAATTATTCCTGCCCATCGTCCATCATGTTTGTTTACTCTAAAGTCGTGTTTGACTCCGAGGAATTTCACAAGACCTCCAGCGTTTAGAGTCAGGACTCTGGTTGTTCTTGAACAGAATCTGTTAGTGTACTGATGCTCTCCAGACACAACACTGATAAATCTATCATTATTTTCCCTAATTTTGGATTCCTGGACTTTTTCTGCCCTCTCAGTTTGTTGTTGGTGCCTACCAACCTGAACTTATTTGCTATACATTTGATCAGATCATGTAAGAAGTTGTTGCCACGGGTAACCATGGCCTCTCCTCCTCACTGACTCGTATCTCTTTGTGATTAAAGGTTCTGTCATTAAGTTGCAGTAAAAAATCCAATATTTGCATTTTAAATTCTCTGCTAACATTAAAATGATTTAAAATGAGCATCGATTCTTTTTCCCACTGTTAGAGTTTATGGACTCTCTCAGTCATTATAAATGACAATTCCCTCCTGAGTGACCTCCTGTGAACAGCGTCGCCCATTAATTCATTGTAAGCTGTAACGTTTGCAGCCCTAATCCAAATTATTCACGGCTCTGTCACTGCTATGTTACACAAACATGCAGCACATGTCAGCTCCATAAATCTCCATGCCACGTCTGGAGCGGAGAATTATCTGAACACGGACAGAAAACAAGCGGAGCCTTTTAGCTGTTGGGGCAATATTGATTTGATTTGCTTCCTATGTGGGTAAAATTTATAGATGTCTGCCGCCTTCTCCGTAGAGTGATATTAGTTTCCCTGAGGAGGAAAGGATCCTGTCTGAGCGAGGCGTGAAGAATTGGCTCCAGACTGAGCAGCAGCGTGGGCCCCTTTGTGAATGTATAACATGTTATTAAAGCAGAGAAAGTTGTTACAGGACTGTTTCTCTTGAAGGTAACCCAAAAGATATCCAGTTCTGTGGTCGCAGGGACAAAATTTATTTCTCGCATTTCTCGGTGCACGGCGGCAGCTGACGACACTAAAACCCTCGTCTCACTTCCTCTGCCCTCTCCCTTCTTTTCTGCTTCACTCTTTAAACTGCTACCTCAGCTACTCTCTGTTTATAAAACCCCACAGTTTCACTCGAGGAACAGTTTGTCCTGCAGGATCAGGCTGGAGGGATTTTTATTATTTTTAACTGCAACTCTTTATGCAGGCTTGAAAAGATGTAAACGATTGATGAATCTGGGAAGATGGTATATCTTTGGTTGTGTTGCTATATTTAGAGATATCCTGTCAAAGGTGTGTTTGCACAACACTTCCTAGAGAGAGAGAGAGAGAGAGAGAGAGAGCCCTGTTTAAAGTCAGCTGTACTGTCTCTGTTAACATTTTACATGAATGAAGGTGAGCTCAACTAAAAGATGTCTGCAATCATTTCAACAATGAAAAATACCTTTAATGCCATTTAAAGAAGAGAGAATAACCTGATTTTTAATTTGGATATGGAGGTGGAGAGAGTCAGGAATCAAAGCGAGAGAGAGAGAGAGAGAGAGAGACAGAGAGAGAGACAGAGAGAGAGAGTGGGGAATGACTTGCGGAAAAGGAGCCACAGGTCAGACTTGAACCCGGGCCGTCCGCTTGGAGAACTATAGCCTTTGTGCATGAAGCGTAACCTAACCACTGGGCCATCAATAGTAATGTCATTTGACCAATAAAGTACAAAAGTATACTCAGAAGTGGATATGCAGAATGTAAGCAGGAACTTAAAAAATAAGACAAGAGTAAGAAAAAAAACTGTTACAGTCAAGCTAAAGATGAAAGAAGACGACAAAATATGCAAGAACTGCATGCAGAGAGGACTGATGATGAAAGATGAACATGGTCAGAGGTTTGAAGGTTAAAAAAAAATAATAATATAAAAAGCAAATAGGCATCCTGTTTTTGTCCTTGCTTGCAGAAGATTCATAATGCCACATGTTGTGTTGTCAGATTGTTGTACATGTATTTGAATGTATCCTCTTGTAGTGTTATGGGGTTTTATGTGATTGAATGTTGTACATGTTTACTCTGTTTGTTTGCACAAAGGCCCAACTAGGGAAAAGAGTTGGAAATTAGAAATAGCTAAATACCCTTCATGCATCACATCAGTTTAATGCTTTGTATTGAAACTATGTTCAATTGCATTGTCCCTATGAAATAAATAAAGTTAACATGTTGCACATTCCTGCAGCTCTTGATACTGTCTTGATATTAAAAACAGAAAACTGTAAATAATTCATCCAACACTCTTTCATATGTTTGCTGTTTATTTTCACATTAAACATCAAAACACAAAGGAAAATCCTTGTTTCCTGCAGCTTTGGAGGAAATAAGATGCATCCATCACATGCTTTAATTCCTATTTTTAGTCTATTTACTGTGACTGTAGTGCTTTATAAATGCATGTTATCTCAGGTTTATTTGATTGTATTGTCTTTAATGCAAAATGAATGCTTTAATTGTTGCATTTTTATGATTTAATTCCCCAAGTTCAGCACTTTGAAATGCTTTGTGTCTGAAATGTGATCTACAAATGCACTCGCTCTGCTCGTATTTAGTCTTTAATAATTTCTATTGCAGATTGGTGTACTGTATAAGGATCCTTGTCCACACATCCTATTTATGTTGACAAATATACACATATTATATAAGCAAATACACACATGGCAAATACTCATTGTATCTCTCCAACATGTTACAAAACCTCCCAGTCTGTCCAGAAGTGCACAGATCAGCTCTGGCAGTGAAGCTGATGCATCTGTAGAACTGGAAGTTCTTCCCAGCCTGATAACAAAGTTCAACATGTTCAATCAAACAGACTGAGGAGGTATAAAGGAGCTGAGCGGAGCCGTCAGAGCGTTTCTGTGTCTGCAGGCTGACACCATGATTCAGGCTCTGCTCCTCGTGCTGCTGCAGCTCGCATATGGTGAGTAGTACTGCTTACAGGTGACTGGCATACTTTGTTTCTTTATTTCATACCCACATCAGCATAAAAACACAAGAAATATAACAAGACAACAACACAGTAATAACAGTTATCATTTTTTTTATATCCAAGTAATCATTACATATTTGTACACAAAATCACACATTTTTTACATGAAAGGTTTGAACATGATCAGAAATAAACACATCAGCTTTTTACTGTTACTGCACTACAAGTGGAGTTGCTTTAAAAAGCTCTATTTTGTGCATACATTCTACAACACTGGCACTGCACGTCATCACCATCACACAGGTCATTCCTGATTGTGTACCCCAGATTTGCTCATACTAAGCGTTTGATTTGTGCTAAGAATCAGGCACTAACTTGATCGTGTGTTTGTAGTTTTCGGGTGTGGCACACCTGCTGTAAAGCCGGACACCAGCAGGGTGGTGAACGGAGAGGATGCTCGCCCCCACAGCTGGCCCTGGCAGGTACTTTAACCCCTCATACTGAAACTATTCTCTTATTGAAACACATTTTTATAATAATCCTTCTGTCTCTCTCAGATCTCCCTGCAGGTGAAGCACGGCAGCCGTTACCATCACACCTGTGGAGGGACTCTGATCGGACCCCGCTGGGTGCTGACGGCTGGACACTGCATCTGGTGACTAACAAAAAGACGAGATAGATATACTGTGTGATTTATTGAAGCTAATGCAAAAACAAATGTGACTTGCAATATAAGGCAAGTCAGCAGAGATATATGATTGAACCTGTATGGTTATAGGGTGACTGAGTGAGTGTGTTACAGGCCTGGAGATGTGTACCGCGTGGTCCTGGGAGAGCACAGCATGAGTCTGCAGGAGGGCACCGAGCAGATTAGAGATGTTCTGCGTATCATCGTGCATCCACAGTGGGACATCGACTTTGTGTCTGACGGGTGAGGTTACAAAATCAATGTGTAACCTTGTTTTTGTATCATCTTTAATAAGCATCAAGAGAAAGTGTTTTGTTGGTTTAGGCCTGTAAACACAGAACTGAGGAAGTAAAAGCAAAAGTAAACAAAATAGAAAATTACATCATTTTAATATTAATTAAGAAAATGTAAACACTCTGGATGTTTGATGATGATTGAGAGAACTTTTAGTAACTCACTAATATTCATGTGTAACTTGAATTATTCCTCTCAGAAACGATATGGCTCTGCTGAAGCTGGATAAAAGCCCCATCATGAACGACAGCGTCGGTGTAGCGTGTCTGCCTCAGGCCGGAGAGATCCCTGCTCACGGAGCATCGTGCTACATCTCCGGCTGGGGAAACCTTTACTGTAAAGTCCCCCTGCTCTCTTTCCTCCTCTGCTCCCTCCAGGGTTCTGCATGTTCTGTTTAACCACGGTGTCCTCATCCCTCATCTTTCGCCCTTTGCAGTGATCACTGCAGACCACAGCAGGGGGTCTGTAAGTTAGAATATGAATGTAATCACTGGCAGGTGGATGTGTGGCCTAGAAAAGTTTCAATATAAATTCTGAACTGTTGATGACTCAGAAGCTGCTAAATCGGCACTCCCTAAGAAATGTAAAAAGTTTTCAAGAGTAGTACGAGCAATCACAGTTCAAATTCAGTATTTACACTACAGTTACTGATACCTTTAGGTTTAGAGTAATGTCAACCCAGCTGTCATTAAACACCTTAGTTTGTACGTCTTTTTCTTTTCCTTTTCTATTACTATGCGAAGTACAAATCTGAGGTATTTTCTCTCCTTTGCGTTGGATTTTTATTTTAAAGGTACTTATAACTATACTCTAGTACAGTTACTTTCTTTTTTTAAAGATTTATTTTTGGCCTTTTTGTGCTTTTAATGGAGAGAGGACAGTGGATATAATTGAAAATCAGGGAGAGAGAGATAGGGAATGACATGCGGGAAGGAGCCACAGGTGGGATTCAAACCTGGGCCGCCCGCTTGGAGGTATACAGCCTCCATACATGGGACGCGCACCAACCACTGCGCCACCAGCGCCCCAGTACAGTTACTTTCTGATTGAAACTAAATTAATCAACAATTATGATATCCTCCTTCACAAGTTGATAAATCAAAGTGCTGAACATTAATTTATCTCTTATCATATCCTATTGATTCAGCTTCTCTTTACCTGTTTTTAATTTGACCTATGTACTGTTGCAAATGCAGGAACTTCAATTCAAAAGAAACATGATTATCTTGTTATTATTATCTTAAGACTGTGTATGAGAAGTGGACATGGTCTTGTTTGTGTAAAAGTGAAACCAGTGCCAAAGTGACTTTAATCTGCATTCTTGCTAATGGCCAGCAGGGGGAGAAACCACTGGTTGCAAAAAGGAATCAGACTGTAAAGCCTCCTGCACACATATCACAAGATTTTGAGACATTTTCAGAAAAAGCCTGACTCTGACATTTTTACTGGTTTCCTTCTGACACATGTTCCTCACGGTGAGAGTTTTCCCCTGTCAGACAAGAAAGGAGTATGAAGCAGCTTTATAACATGCAAAAAGATTGCACTGTTTTGAACATCAACATACCCCTCTATTCATAGTTCATTTTCCTGAATATTTCATTCACATATTCAGAGTTCACACAGCCGCTCTCCCTGCCTTTGGCGACAATTTGACAAGGAGGCTATCAGGGAAAATTCTGAATGCAAATGGCTTCAGTTTCAGCTCACAGTAGTGCATGTGTGAAAGGGGTTCATGGAAGCAGGACACCTTTAAAAAAAATTCCTCATGATTTTATGTGTCAATGGACGGAGTTAAATAGATTAAAAAGCAGAGTTTGCTTTAGGGGCGTGGCTATCTTTGGTTGCCAAATTGCCATCATTTCAACCTGTCAACTCTTTGTGTTCTACATGTTACATTTTGGCTCTAAAAATCAAGATGGGAATGGTCAGAAAGTTAAACTAAAAGGTTCCTAATGGTACACAAACTAATATTTGGTATCACAGTGGCCATACTTTTTTAAGGTAAAATGTGAGTTTCTGACCTCTGTCTAGTCTACATGATGTGTTTGTGTGTTACAGTATGGATCACCTCTCTCCTTTGTGTGTCCCAGCTTATGGTCCCATGCCTGATAAGCTGCAGCAGGCCCTGCTTCCTGTGGTGGAGTACAGCGTGTGCAGCCGCAGCGACTGGTGGGGCATCAACGTCAAACCCAGCATGATCTGTGCAGGAGGAGACATCGTGGCTGGATGCAACGTGCGTGACAAGGAAACTCGTACCTGTCAGATCTGAACAGAAAACTGCTGTGTGCAAAGGTCAGACACTTCAAACTGTGTTCCTGTGCGTCTCTTTAGGGAGACTCCGGCGGTCCACTCAACTGTCTGGGTCAGGATGGCAGGTGGTACGTTCAGGGCGTCACCAGCTTCGTCTCCTCTCGTACCTGCAATGAAGTGAAGAAGCCGACCGTGTTCACCCGCATCTCCGCCTTCACAGACTGGCTCAGTGAGGTGAGTTCATCTGCACATGAGCTCCCTGTGAACTACAGTCACACCTTATATGAGCATGCTTCTGTCTACAGTCACAGAAACCATCTGCACTGGAATATCTCTGATTAACAAAGCACTTCCTTTTTTCCCTGCAGGTGATGTTGAAATACTGAGAGTCTACTCCAAATCAACTCATCAACTCTGGAATATAATGACAGCCAAAGTTTCCCTTTTAGTTTTTTTTCAGTTTCATGTTAAACACCGATCAAAAATGTCATTATGATCTTTAATGTAAGAATCTAAGTAAAAGAAAAAAATCATGGTATTACAATCATTGTCCCACAGTAAAATGAACCTTCCTGTGTCATTCCTCATTTTACAACAGGCTGTAAATTATTAACAATGCATTTTATTTTCATCTGCATGAATAGAAAGTTACTAAGTGCAAATTCCTGGTTGCTTAAGTTCAGATTTTTAGGTATATTTTTTTAAGATGTAATTTTGACTTGAATCTGCATGTTTGCACATTTTAGTCCTTACATTTTCTGGTACTGAGCGATTTATTTTTCTGCACTTGTGGGGAATAATTTTAATTTGTTTTTTTTTCATCATTACACACGGCCTTTACAACAACATGACTAATTTCAACCTTCGTGAATGAGAAAAATTACATTAACTATATGACTCTTTGGTGTAGCCCTAATTGCATATCATACATGAATGATGTTACATGATGAAAAAAACGTTTGAGACGTGAAAAAACTTAAGAGAGGGGAACTCAGCTGCAAAGAGAAACATCCAATCAATGTGATGTGCAAAGTTATTAAAGGCTACACTGTGAGGGTTTTCCAGAGCTTTTTAGGGAAAAGTGCCTCCTCTTTTAACACTAGTCTATTATTTGTAGTCTATGTATTTGTAATTCTGAAGTAAAGTCATTTTGCCCACTCTGCTATTCAGCATCATGTTTCAACAAATCCAAACCACAGTTGTTTATGAGAAAACATCAACAATCAAACTAAATCATTCCTGTCTTTAAAAAGAGGAGAGTAAAGGGATCCCTGCTCTGTGAAAATCTTCATACTTCTCCCTCCTGCTGTATGATCAGAGGAGTGTGTGAGGAATGGATGCCCATCAGCGTGTGCAGAGGACTTATGAATCAGTCTCTCCCATCAATCATCACCAAGGTCGTCTGAGTTTTCTGCACCTGTGTCTGATCCAGACTGGAGGGCAGCAGCTCTCACGTCAGATAAACTGCAGCCGCAGGTTGCCTTGATACACGACTTCAGCAGACTATGCATCAGATCGCAGCAGCATACTGAAACACTTTTGATAAATACACATCCAGTTAGTGACAAAACATAGAACTCATTTAGCAAGATGACAACTCAGTCAGTCACAAGCGGGAAACTTTGTCTGAACCTGTCATTGTTAAGATAGTGTCAACATTAACATTCAGAGGGAAGAATTGAACTTTAGACATTTTGCAATGTACTTAATCTGGGGTAACTTTGAATCTCAAAAAGATACTGAATTAAATCATACAATGAGCTTACTATATGATCAGACATTAAGGAAACATGCTGTCTTGAAGTGCTGACTTCTCTGACAACAATGCAGCACCCAGTATGTCCTCATTCTTAGTTTAAGATTGCAGTGCAGAATGTTTCACTTTTGTTCAACCAGAGAAGGTGGTTTTACAGCAAACTGATTTGCTTGCCTCAGCATTTTTCTCATAAGCTTCCACGACCAGAAACGTGGTGAAAGTAGGATAAATATTGGAGATTATTTTGAAAAATGGAGAGAGGTTAGAATGCAGAAAGTTTTCAAGGCCGATTCAGAGCTGGCTAAACACTGACGCTGCAGTGTCCGTGACATGGCAACCTGTGTGCGCCTTGACTCTTGGGAGAGATACGTAGGTGGGGTGGAGACAGCTCTCTACAATGTTTTGAATTTGGACTGCAGTACCCATTTTAAACGCTAAGTGTCAGAGCTACATATTGCTCATTTAAAATGAAAACAGATGTGTTTTTTTGTTGGGCCCTACTTTTGCACATTTTGGGATCTAAATGACTCATAGGAACAACACTTTTGGAATCCATTAGACTGCTTCAGTTGGCTGCTGTGGGTGGCTGCAATGTTATGTGGGATAAACCTGCCTGATCAAAGCTGGTCAACTTGAAACGATATGTTTATCGCTGACAGGCTCAGATTGTTCTCAGTATCTGACAGTATTACAGAGGAAATAACCCTGTCGTTGTTAGTCCATCTTCTTTTACCCAGAAACATCTGTTACACGGTTCTCCTTAAAGCAGCCAACCAATTAAAAAAAGGACAATTTTCCAAAAACAAGGGAGTTGTTGGTCTACCTTTGCCTCATGCATCAGCTGTATGACTTTAGTGCTTTAAATTGGAATTTGAGATTTAACGCCACAAAAAATAGGTTAAAAAATAACCTACAATTCCCTATAAAGTACCTTTCCTGAGTATATTCTTAACTTCTTTCCATCCTTTCTAATAATCTTTCTTTGCATATACCTCAGTCTATAAACTGGTATCAGTTGTCCTAACAGTTTCAGAAACAGCAAAATGAAACACTTACACTCTCCTCTAATCCACACTCAGTCAATACTCAAAAAGTTTCAACTTTGATACTGCTTCATGGATTACAGGAGAAATGCAGCAGTTTCAGAGTTGTGCTGATGTCCCTCCTATATTCTGATAAAATATTGTCTTAATGTGTAAAGTTTAAACATGACCCTAAACCCTTCAAACCCTGTGACTTTCATCTTTCCCCATCTGCTGGTTCATGTGTGAACGTGTTCAGAGCTGACGGCATCACAGCAGCTCCATCCAGTGGACGGACAGAGAGAGAGAGAGAGAGAAAGTGAGAGAGAAACTACCACGACTGCTGTGGTCTCCAAAACATGCATGTGACATATTCACTCTCATACATGAAGAATATGAAATAAATTGCTCTGGGTCTGTAACCAGCTTCAAACAGACGCCTTATTAATACTGGCCACTTTTAAAAATCACATTTATTTTGTTTGATTTACTCACTTAAACCTCAATGAATGTTACATACATTTACCTCTCAGGCTTCATCTGTGAGCGCTGTCTTCTTAACTGATGTAGTTGGGTCATATGGAGACGTTTAAGGGTTACAACAGTGGAAACTAATCTGCACTTTTAGTTTCAGTAAATATTCAACAGTACACTAACCCATCCACATTGAAATCAAAACTCAAGACTCACCTTTTCAAAACGAGCTTTTGATGTGTGATTGTGATGTGTGTTCTGTTCACGTATGGCTCATATGCTGTTGTGTATTCAACCTGTGTGTAATAATTACATCATTGTGAGCTTGTACTCTCCAGCATGTTATCTGAGTATTACTGCTTGTGCTGCAGCGTTTGCCCTTATCCAGGTTTTTTTGATTTTTTTATAGTTGATTTATTTGCTCATTTCAGCAAACAGGAGCAGGAAGAAGAGCACTTATAACACCTGCCCCTTTCCTAATAACACAAGATACTGTTTAACAGAATAAGATGGCTAACCTGTTGTTTTCTCTTTCTTTCACAAAACAAAAAATACATCAACAATATAGAAACAATCAAAACAGTCATAATTTCCCAGAACCTTTTCTTTATACATTCTTTTAAATTGAATGATAGTTGAGCAGCATTTTTTTGAAATAGTTAATGATTATATCGTCACTGTGTCAGTGTCTCAAGAGGTCACCACTGCTCCACCTTTTGTGCTTCAGAAAAGATAAAACCTGTTGGTAACATTCAGGTCATCACGGGCTGAGAGGGCAAAGCTCCTCAAGCACACGTCTGTCATGTACCCTCCATAAGGCCTTAAGAATTTTGTAGCCTGCATGTGTAACCTATTGCAGCTGCCTCTGATAAGATGATTTTAAAAATAATACACTATAGAGTGTGTGTTAGTGTGTTAGTGTCCAGGTGGAGGCAGCACACTCACACTCAGCTCGGTGGAACATTTCAGGAAACATTAACATATTCAAGCAGAACACAGAGAGGAGTTTAGTTACACTCTTTAAAATTAACCACACTTTCAAGGAATGTGTTCTGGCTTTCCATTATTTCAACACAACAAAAAAGGTTTTTTTCAAGGTCATTCAGCAGCAGCGTGAGGGAATTATTGGAGCAAATTGCAGCTGGTGAGTATTTCTGATATAACACACTCAAATTTAAAAGATCACTACAAAAGTATATATATATATAAGATTAAATTACCCCCGATATAGAACTGAAATACATGTTATTAGAAGTAACATGCAAGCACAATCAAATCTGATTTCTGTTTCAAATCAACTGCATACAAAAAGAATACAACAACAGCAATAATGACTGATTCAAATTCATACACTTTTTGGATTTTTAAATCATCCAGCGTTGAGCCTATGAGATTTAGTTCCTCATTAATATAAACAGTAAGTAATTCACAACACTTGCTAGCAAGCTACTCTGTGGCACAGGACAGATACATGTAAAAAACACATACTAGAGAAAACTACACTCTAGTGTTAGCTCACAAAGCTAACGAACAATATTAATGCAGCATGTTCACACAGTCTAATGGAAGAATTCACAAATTCAAGAATAATTTAATACGTAATATTCTTGTTTCTACCCAAGGATGAAGGTTTCTCACAAATAGCTAAATATCACTCAGACTTGAAGTTTCCTTGACATTACTGTTGTGCGACGTGTTAAAATGTATGACAAAATGTATTTGATATTTGACTATATATGGGTAATCCTTATATAGGATGAAGGTTTTTCTGTGTATATAAACCCAAGCATATTGTGATTGCTTCAAGCTTTCCTTCAGACTGTATTGACACTCTAAAGCTTTGTTCCTTCTACTTGCAAGAAGAATTAAACTAAACAAAGACATTGATTGACTCATGATCCTTTCTTTTGCATTGTTAACAGAAATTTCCAGCACAACAGCCCTCTCATTCATCCTCCTCATCATACCCGTGTTTCCCACCAAGATGTCCTCCACAGCCTTAGCATTTATCCACTGACTTGATGAAATGGCATCTTCCACTCTACCTCATTTTTTTGGTGAAACCTGAAGAATTTGTTCCTGTAAATTAATTATGTTAAAGGCCACTGGTGACCCAAATCCTACAAAGCTTTAAAAGTATGGAATTTGAGGTTGTCACACATAGGGTAGCATCAAAATGCTAACAGAAATTAGCTTCAATCCAAATTTGAAACATTGTCTTTTAAGATTCTGCAAACCTTCTTTGTATTGGGTTTGAATTAGGCTTACTTCAATCAGTCAATCGATCATACCAAGCGTTAGCATCGTTAGCAGGTATTGACCACTGAATGTATTGAGTGACAAAAGGAGTTGTCTTAAATTTGGACATGAAGTGCATTGCGGGTCGTTGATCAGCTACCTTAGGCCCCGTGTCCACATAACATTGTTTCCTGGCAGAAAAGCGCCGGCTATGCGCTCGGGAGTGTTTGCATGAAGCGTTTGTGCTCTGGGAAGAAAAGCGCAGCACGTCCGTCCTGTCTCTGTGACAACAGTTTGTTGACAACGACCACTGTATGACCGACACGGCTCCGTTATTTTTTACTGCATGTTTTATGTTTGAGATCATTTTTTTACCCCAGACGACACGGAGCAAAGAGGATGTGAGTACAAGATACGATCTGTAGGAGGCTGAAATACAGGGAATATCAAACATTTTGAAAAGAGCGCCCGTGTGACGTCAACAGCACCGTTCTGAAAAGTTGCAATATTTTCAACTTGAGCGTTCAGAGCGGCCGCACAAAAACGGCCAGAAAAAAGGTTTAG